AAATAAAACACACTTATATTTGATATCATAATCTTAAACAAATTGTGATTGATAAAATAATTTAGCTTCTCAATATTAAAAAATATTCAATCTTGATCATGATTCCATCAAAATCATTCAATTATAAATTTGTTTGACACATCATATCACCTGGTAAATTTTGCATAAAAATACAAATAAAATACACTATGAATTATCTTGACTTTGTATATAATTAAATTTTTTTCTTTTGACTAGATTTTTGTTCTTTTTAACCATAGGTTACAAAGCTACTTATGTTAGATTTGTGTCTAGAAAGTTAATTTTTATGTCTATATGATAAAAATATAGACATATGAAAATTTAATATAATTTTTTTATCATTCAATAAAATTGATATAATATGAAGATTAAAAATTTTAGAATCTGATATTGAGTGCAGTGTATTCAAGTAGAATCATTCTAAATAAATCAAATATATTGATAAAGAACTCTGTAGATTATTTTTCAGACTTTTTAAATTAGTTACAAATGTATAAATAAAATGAAGAATGAATAATTCCTTAACGTTACATTAGAAAATTTGAAAAATCACTTTCCCATTTTTAACTATCTTGACTTTCAAGTATCATTTCCTTAGTCATGAATGATAGATAGAATAGTTCATGAATCTCGAGTATCATTTCTTTAACTGTGAACTAAAGATAAAATACCGCTTGCAATGACTCGATAGCAGAGATCTGCATCGGGTTTCCAAACCCAAAACCCTAATAGTACCTGCCTGAACCTATGAGTATGGAACAAGTAAGTAAAAGTTTGATTTGAGTACGGGTTGGCCTTTTTGTAAGATGGTTTGGAGTAGGGTTAGGTGTAATAATGGAAATTATGATTACTCAGTAAATTGATTGTGGAGGATTTCCTGACTTCTTGCTCATTGCACAAAGTGCTCATTGCACTTGTTCTCATCATCCGTCACTCTCGACGCTTGTCATAGCTGATGATGACAAATTGAGATGAGGTCCAAAGATATGCTCATCTTGAAGACAAAAATCACCACAGATCTGCAAAAAGAGTACGGTCTCTATTATCGAATGAAAAACCGTAAAGCTAGAACAAGTGTTTGGAAATCATTTTTTGTACAACTATTATAACAACGTGCCGCGATGCGACAACAACCGAGAAAAAACTCATCAGCGTGGCGTTGGCGCACATGTGCGTTGTTGACATGCGTTCATTTCATATTGTGAAGTACAGCGGTTTCAGGAGCTATAAGAAGTGCGTCCTCAACATTGGGATCAACTCTAAGGTGGGCATGCTTGTGGACAATATTCTTTCTATTCAAATCACAATTAGTAGAAATATGCAGATCTAATCTAATGTTGGACGTTAGGTATTGATTGCCGCCTTGGAGACACATATGGAGGAAGGAATTTGGATTGGCAACATTGATATTTAGATCGATGACATCAATAAAGTCTCTTTTCTGTCAGTCATTGCACATCTCAACAATGACGAGTTCACTCTGCACCACTACACGTTTGCATGCAGTCTGTTTCTTGGACCGCACCGTGAATACGACGTCCAGGAAAAATATGGGGCGTTTTACGGAAATTTGACATCTATATCTATGATCATGTCACAGCTGTCACCGACCGAGGCTTGAATATGCATTTTGCATATGACATCGACTGGAGACTCTCGAAGTTGATCGAGATATTACGTGCACGAGGTCGCGGATTGTTTTCAAGGTCATCAAGATTGATCACGAGATTCTCAAGTAGTTCATTCCTTTTCTAGTGTACTTTCAGGAGTCCAATCTAGCTCTGGAGATGTTTTGGAGCTTATGTTACATTGTGTCCTCTATTTTTGGCAAAATCTGCTGAATTATTGTCTGGTTGTTACGGTGGACATCATCACCGAGGAGAAAGATGGCACAATAACCACATTGAAGAATGACTCTCTCGCATTCATCGTCTTGAAGCCAAAATTTGCGAAACTAATCAGGGAGAAGTTCGTTTGAAGCGACATCCATGTCATTGCCGTACTACTCAATCCTAAAACCAAGTGTCGTCTTGACAAGTTCGGCATCGACTCCGCCGATATTCAGCATGGCAAAATAAATCTAGAATATATGATGAAAAATCATATGATTGGCTCTGACATCGGCAATTACAGTGTGCGACCCCATAAAAAACAGAAACAGGACAATCGATGTGTCGCGCGTCGTCTTGCCGAGTATAGTTATGAGAGCAAAAACGCCATCAACAAAAAACCTCTCGCTTATGACATGCAACTTGATTTTGCTTTGATGACGGAACTCAACAACTATATTCGTCACAAGCTACGATGAAAGCATACTTTTATCTAAATACAAAATTTTATTTTGGTGCAAGATACATCAAAACGAATTCCCTGTACTTTCTTGACTTGCCCGCTTTGTGTTGGCCATTCCAGCATTTAGCGCAAAATCTGAGAGTAACTTCTCGGACGTAGGGAACACGATGAGCAAAAAACGCAACTAGCTGCATCCTTTCAAGCTCGACAATCTCATGTTTCTGCGCTCAATGCTACTATCATCTACTTGTCAGGTTAAGTTTCCGTAGAAAACCTAAAGCTAAATAGAAAACTGATAGATTTTCACATCTGTAGATGTTACGGTTCCACCAACAATTGAAGTCTAAATAAAAAACGGATGGTTTTTTCACATCTATTCGGATCCAAGTCGGATATCACCTCCAAGATGACTTGGGTGTGTGATGAGTATCGGTTTTGTTTCTTCGGATATGGATTGGGTATGGGTACCATAAGCGCAGAGTACGTGGGCATGGATCGAGTTCGGATATGATTTTTAGGTGTGATGCAGGTCTCGGCTTGATAGTTGAAAGAATGGTAAGTGATTCAAACAAGAAGAGTAAGATGGAGATCAAGAATCAAGAATCAACATATCCCTCGGGTAGAGGAAAATTACTTGATGGATTTATGCGAAATGCAAAACATTTACTGGGATCCAACATAATTCATTCTACCTAATGAGATTTCACAACGTTATTGCAGTATACTATGGTCCATGTTTTCATAAGATTATTGGATTGATTAAATTCATTGTTAGGTCTATCTCTTAAAGGGCAGAGCAAGCACAACTTAGAGTTCAAAACAAAAAGATTCACGTCACATTTTGTCACAAATCGCGCCTTGCCGTAATAGTAAAATTGCGATGCTTGTGTAGAGAAATCATGACAAGGAGGCGACATATGCTTGTCACTTGATACTAAGATGGATAGTTTGATGATTTTGGATAACAAGCTCATGGAGTTCCAAGAGGTAGCTCTAGTGGCATTGGCTGTGTGCAATGTGAATAAGAAGTTCGTGACGTTACAAAAGCTGGCTCTAGTGACATTGACAGTGTGCAAGATGGGGAAGGTTCGTTTGTTGACCAAGGTGACGAAGGGTGTTTCATCGCATTGCTTTCGTCGAGGATCAAATTTATGATGCCCAAATCGCCATTGATTTTGATTTACCACAATAAATTCATCTTGGCAGGGATGGTCAAAATGTCAGTTTACGTGATATGATATAATAATTTCAACGAGACGCAAAATATGATCGTGCAGGTTATTTTACGTCAACAAAATCTTGAATACTTTAGCTCCGAGCGTGAATTCGTGATGAAAGATGACTATCAGATACAAGAATTTGGAAACGATATCAATACCTTAGGCCTTGAATGTGGAGACAGAAATTTTGTGACTTTGTTATCACATCAATATCATCTCGTTAATTGATATCAAGATCACCTTTATGAATTTCCTAGTTATCTGAATTGCATTTTGTCACTACAATGATTTGTAGATTCCCATGCAAATACTTCAGTCTTATGGACGAAGTACTCCCGCGAGAGTACTTTGGCCTGATAATCTCTTCCTGCCAGCCCCATACTATAGCTGAGGGTGACAGAACTAGTGAACGTAGTACTGGTGCTGCAGATTATCAGATTACAAAAATTCGTATTGGAACATAAATAACGATGGGCTGCTCGACCGTAGATGAGACTCCCTAGACGTAAAATGGATAATAGGTGCCAACAAGTGATTTTGGGTTATGCAGTGATCCCATCAAGTACTTTTTCTCTTGAGCAACCCCAGTCCAGACAAAAGTTCCTGAGTTTGTGATGGAAATCTTAAGGATTTCCTCCACCCTCCAACTCAAAAGCAATAAGCACACCTGTTGTTGCGGGTCCCATAAGCTGTGATAAGTTGTTATAACAGGATACAAGCGAAAGTTTGTGGGTAGAAAAAAAAACTTGCAACTTCACATTTTTCTCAATGGTACCCTCAATTTGTTCAACATCTAGCCTTTAGATATTTTGCTTTATGGTTGGTGGAGGTATGTACGAGAATTACAGCGATCGTCTTACAAAAACTGCGAAGCTTTACTACGCTCTCTCTGGTCTCTCATGACCCTATATTGTTTCAATTTAATCATGGGTTATGGTTATTGACCCGGAACGAAAGAGAACCGGTCACCTGAAGTGCAGAAGTCTGCTGTGTATCCGGACGCGCATATGCCGATGGCTTGACCGGGAACCAGCCCGTAGACCGGGAGGCCAGTCCGGTTGTAGTCGGCAGAGCAGGTTGATTTCGATCAGCAGTGGAGTTTGTCGCCACTTATGTTAGTACAACCAGAGAGGCGACGACGGGAACAGGAGGAGATCTGAGATGTCGGATCCCGCGAATCTGAAAGCGGAGCATGTGTTCGAACATGGGGGTGTGGAAAAGATATAGAAAGATAGACGGCCGTAGGACAGTCCTGGTGTTTTACGTTTACCGCTGTCGTTGAAGCGGAATTAATATCGTTTGGTATAAGGACAGGTCATCGGTGCAGGAGACGATGGAGTGATGAATTAGATGAAGTCGGGGCGGTTCGGTAGGAGATGGAGAGGCCGGGCATTAATTGATGTCGAGAAGCTGAGCGCAAGCGAGCTGGTATAAAGGCAGGCGTTGCTCGGACGGAGTGGCGGAGAGATCGTACCCCCATACGGCTGCTCTCTTCACGCTGTAACACTGTCGCATGCATTATGGTCCACAGTGAGACGTAGAAGCAGCAGCATCAGGAGGCCCCGACGGACTCACTCAGCCTTGGGAACGTCGGACACGGGGGAGGCTACTGCGCCACGCCGCGAGTACAGTAGGCAAGGCTAGGCAAGGCAGGGCAGGGCCGGGCCTTCTTCCAATCTATTCCTTGACCCACGAGCCGGGCTGCGCTGCAGTTCGCCATTGGCGAGCGGCCTGAGCTGGACTGCGGGTGACAGTCGGATCTCGGGGCCCTCCTCCGTTCGCAGTTGGCACTTGCCAGCCGAGGCGAGGTCGTGCGCTGCGCGTCGGCCGTGGTCGAGTTTCTTCAGTCCCGAGTGTGAACACATCCTTCGACGGCATACCTGTCTGCCTGGCCGCGAGCGCATCCCAGCTGCTGCCTGCGGGAGCCGCTAGCACTGTTTGCCATCAGCGGATCGCGATTCGCGATTGTGGGCTTCGGCGTCGCTGTGCTGCGATCAGCAGGAGAACGTGAGGACGAGGCAGAGGCCAGGTTGGTGAGCGCATTGACAGTCTTCATTATTCGGAGTCAGACTAGGGCACATTGCGTTCCACGATCGCGGTGCGCTGAGGTCGTCATCGTCGCACTCGCTTGCGCGGAGCTCCGAGTGCAGCCACTGCTGCCCCTCCCCTTCCGAAGCAGTGAGCTGCACCTCGTTCGTCCCGTGCTGTCGGAGCGATTCTGGTCTTAGGATCTCGAGCGATCTCCCCTCCCAGTGCCGAATGCCTCCGCGCTGCGCTCTTGCTTTTGTCGCGCCTGCTCCGCCCGCCCTCTCTTTCGCCTTTCTGGCCCCGGCGCCAGCGAGTCTTGGGTAGCGCGCAGGGGGCCTCGAATCCCCGCTTTGCTCCCTCGGAGGGAGAGCTGCGCCTAACGGGCGACAGCGTACGCGGGCAACGGGCAGTTGGGCGGGGGATCTTCCGGCGCACCGCAGACACGCCGCGACATTGATCGGCGTCGACGAGGAGCAGGATTTCGTTCGGGCAATTCGTTCGCATTCCGCTCAATTTGTTCGAGGAGGGCCGACGATCTTGCGAGGTCCCGATCATGGATTCTCGAGCTCAGAATCGGGACGGAGGCGAGGACGTGAAACAGGAGCTGCTCTCGGCTGGGGACGATGGCAAGGTGCCGTGCCCCACCGTGGCAATTGGAATCCGACAGCGGCTCCCGGATTTTCTGCAGTCGGTGAACATGAAGTACGTGAAGCTGGGGTACCACTACCTGATCACGCATGCCATGTTCCTGCTCACGCTGCCCGCATTTTTCCTGGTGGCCGCGGAAATAGGTCGATTGGGCCACGAGAGGATCTACCGCGAGCTCTGGACGCACTTGCATCTCAATCTGGTGAGCATTATGGCCTGCTCGAGCGCGCTCGTGGCCGGGGCCACCCTCTACTTCATGTCTCGTCCGCGGCCCGTGTATCTGGTGGAGTTCGCCTGTTACCGCCCGGACGAGAGGCTGAAAGTGAGCAAGGACTTCTTTCTGGACATGTCGAGACGCACGGGCCTCTTCTCGTCTTCCAGCATGGACTTCCAGACGAAGATTACGCAGCGCTCGGGTTTAGGTGACGAGACTTACCTACCACCGGCCATCCTGGCCTCGCCGCCCAATCCCTGCATGCGCGAGGCTCGCGAGGAGGCGGCGATGGTCATGTTCGGAGCTCTGGATGAGCTCTTCGAGCAAACCGGTGTGAAGCCCAAGGAGATTGGAGTTCTGGTCGTCAACTGCAGCTTGTTCAATCCGACCCCGTCGATGTCGGCGATGATCGTCAATCACTACCACATGCGCGGGAACATCAAGTCTTTGAACCTGGGCGGAATGGGGTGCAGCGCGGGCTTGATATCGATCGACCTGGCCCGGGACCTTCTGCAGGTCCATGGCAACACCTACGCCGTCGTCGTGAGCACGGAGAACATCACCCTCAATTGGTACTTCGGCGACGATCGCAGCAAGCTCATGTCCAACTGCATTTTCCGAATGGGGGGAGCCGCAGTGCTGCTCTCGAACAAGAGGCGCGAGAGGCGCAGGGCCAAATATGAGCTCCTGCACACCGTGCGCACCCACAAGGGCGCCGATGACAAGTGCTTCCGCTGCGTGTACCAGGAGGAGGATTCGACCGGCAGCCTCGGCGTGTCTCTGTCCCGGGAGCTCATGGCTGTGGCCGGAAACGCGCTGAAAGCCAACATCACCACTCTCGGGCCTCTGGTGCTTCCACTGTCGGAGCAGATTCTGTTTTTCGCATCTCTGGTAGCCAGGAAGTTCCTCAATATGAAGATGAAACCTTACATTCCTGATTTCAAGCTGGCATTCGAGCACTTCTGCATACATGCCGGGGGCCGAGCGGTGCTGGATGAGCTGGAGAAGAACCTGGATCTCACAGAGTGGCACATGGAGCCCTCCCGAATGACTCTCTACAGGTTCGGAAACACGTCCAGCAGCTCTCTGTGGTACGAGCTGGCCTACACGGAGGCTCAGGGCAGAGTGAAGCGTGGGGACCGGCTCTGGCAGATTGCCTTCGGGTCAGGGTTTAAGTGTAACAGCGCTGTGTGGAGGGCTCTCAGAACTGTCAAACCACCCGTCAACAATGCATGGTCCGATGTGATCGACAGATTTCCTGTCAAACTTCCTCAATTCTGAGATTCAGAGCAAGAACCGAGTCTTGGCTTCGTCGTCATCGCCATCGTCGTCATTTCATACATCACCGAATCGATTTCTCTGAATCGTACACGGCGGCCCGCGCAGGGAATCCGATACTCTGAATTAGGTGACACTCTGTTCTTGGATGTTTACGGAATCCTCCGAGGATTTCCTCGTCAAATGCTGTATTGCGATGACATGCCTCGGGCGTGGAGGAAGGGGAAAGCAGTGTGAGCTTCGTACATCCATCTACAACGCGACGCACAGCCGCGTATCTTATTTCATACTGGACACGAGAGAATGGATGTGGTGAAGTGTTCACCACATCCATTCCCGCTGTCCATCTTCAATCCTGCTCACTTTAGATGTCATTCATGAATAAGTGAATCTCTCTGTACTATATTCGAGTCTGAACCGAAGGTTGAAAGACTCCAATGAGCACACACACGATCGTACGCACCGAATCGCCGTCTTATAGCGGTGCTAGGCTGCTATGCTGGTTACCATTAGCTTCAAATCGTGAAATCGGTTATGGTAGTGCACGTCCGGAGGATAGTTGTCCTATGGCTAGTTAGTAGTCGCCTGCTCGCCTAGTGCCGTGCCCCGCTCAAGTGATTTGCAACTTTTGTCCCAATTCCAAGTTTGGATCATGTTTACATACACATTCTTAATTTGAATCGAGAGTATCAAATTATGCCGTTCTCAGTGTTCTCGTCGCGTTCACGACCCAAAGGATCGCCTGTGCAGCTCTTTGGCATCGGAAAATGCTCGATCATATCGGTCTCTCTTCTTTCTTGTCTGCCGGAATCATTCCATCCGCATCCTAACCTCTTGATGTCCGCACCCGCCAGCAGCAGCCTAGCAGCCGCGGGGCAGACATTTTTATCCACGGCTGTCTAGACTTTTCTCAACTCAAAGCGAGGAAAATCTCCCGACTGGCACCTTTGAAGATTTGCCCATCCATCCGCACAACAACGCAGGAACCCTGCACCAGAGCGATGAATGCCCAGAGTACCGAGTACGGGCGTGACAGTGGTGTTGTGGAAGTCCGCCTTCCTAAAATCATTTCACCTTCATGCCACAAAACGATGGATCCCTCTCGAGAAGTCCCAGAGCTCCTGCGTCGCGTCCGACAGCGGGCCATGGTGACGACTCACAACTACCCCGCAGCAAAGGAGAAATTGCCGAATGTACCAGCGTGGTGAGTCGGGTGACTCGATGAAGGCTCCTTACTGGAGGGAAGCGCCAGAGGACCAGCTTGTGGAGAGTCATTGCCGGCAGAGGGCAGACTCCCATCTCTGGGAGTCCTGGGAACCAGTGAGGCATCTTCTAATCATGTCGGTTTTACTGCGTGTCATGATTGGCCTCCAGTCCCCGGGACAGTCTTGCCACATGCTCGAACAACAGCGAGGAAGTCTGATGACTGTGCACCTCCACGCTGGCGTCTTCAATCCCCGGGTTCCTGTTGTGTCTCGACGTCCCTCGCACATGGTGCGAGAGTAGCCATTGCCAGACAGTTTATCCACAGTTCCCAATGTCCAGCTCCTCCTACTACTCCCCATCTATCACTCTCCATTTCACAAAATTACTTGATGGGACCTCGACGGCATTGTAGTACACCGTCACGCATGTCCCAATACAAGTTTTTGTTATCTTATTGGTCAGTTTCAGTCAATTGAATGCGATCAGAGTTCAATTCAGCAAGGAGGCTGAGGAATCACGATCTTGGTTGTGACGGGTTTAGCTGCACCTGAGGAGAGTTCTCCGCTCCTTTCACGCAGGGATTCTAAGCACTGTGACCTTTTGGCGTGATTGATTGCCCTCTCTTATAACTGACCCAAAGTTAATCAATTTCCACGCAATGCAAGGTATTCATTCTAGCTAAGCCAGCCTCCTAGCGGACTGAGTTTTCAAGTTGGGCAAAAGTGTTCTCACGGGAACATTTCAGCCTCAAAGCCGAATACTTTGGCCCGATATTGGCAGTCCCCCTTCCACACTATAGTCTGCACACTATCTGGTTACAGGAACTCGTGTATGTATTGGAACATGGGTGACGGTGCGCTTGAGGCCGTCGGGGTGAAATCCATGCGGGCCAGCAGTCCATCAAGTAATTTTCTCCCGTAGACGGAAAGTGCATCCTCTCTAGCCTTGTTGCCCAGGAATTCGCGCTGCACGAGCAGATCGCTGGCAAAAGCTCGTGCCCGAATCCTCACGTCACATCGCCGGTCGCCGTTGGGCCGTTTCGCTTCGCTTTGGGGGAGCTACTTCCTCCGGGGTCTGTGCAGCACTGGATGGATGGAGAGGCCGGAGATCTACGTCGTCCGTCCTGCGACGCCCAGTAAAGAAAAGTCAATGAACTTACTCTTTACGGACAGCGAGGAGGACGTACGGCCCCTGCGAGTCCTGCGAAGACAAGGGTCCTGCGGAAGGAATCCAAACGGTCAATAACGTAGCATGCATCGCCCAGTCCCCATCCATCCATCCATCCGCAGTCCGTCGCCCTCCTTTGCTCCGCCTCATGTTCCCCGCTCGTCGCTTGTCTGTCACCGCACACATGGGTGACATGGCCCCTTGTCTCTTCGGATGTCGGCCTGAGCGGACGATCGGCGTTGGGGGATCGGCTAATTTGGCGGAGCGGCAGCGGCCCGATGCGACTGGATAAGGCGAGCCCCGTGAGTGAGTAGGGAAGGAAGGATGGAAGGAGGGAAGGTTGCGGAGAGTCGAAGCAGGGTGCCGCTAAAGTCTGACTTCCATAACAAGAAACTGCCTCGACTCGGGCAGTTGCTATAAATGACGGAAAGGGGAATGCCGCACCGTTTCATTGGGCTGCCCAGTTTGCATGAATGCAAAGCCAGTGTGTGTCGCGTGAATCTATCTAGACTTCAGCTGCTACTGGAACTTTACGTCAGCACATGATAATGCACCGAGTCAGCCGTCGGATGTCCTCCGTACGTGAAACCGAACATGTGCCATTCGTCGATGACCCAAATTCCTGACACGATGTGCGGAGTAGGAGCGAGTCCGCAGAGCGCGAGGTCTTCTCGAGAGGACAGTAGTGCGAGAGATTCACAATTATGTTGATGTTGCTTAGCCCGCTCCTCCTCCTCCGAGACCAGGAAACTTCCTCAATTGCCGGACGAAGCTTCGAAATTGCCGTTCTCGCACACGCAACTTGTTCTTCTGCTGGTCTTCCCACACGGGACAAGTTAGACCCTGAGCCCATCGTCCCTTTGCCGGTCGTTCATGGCCTCGTTCCGGTCAGGTCCTTTTGAATCGCGAAGCCCGACACATCGGTCACTACACCAGCCGCAGCCGTTTACGTCAGTCACTTGATTTTGGCTACGTTCACTCGACTGCGTAATGACGTGAAATTAGCGATGAATGTAAAAGAGGAATTGATCTTTCCTTGTGATTCACTTACGTGATTTCCTTCGTTTCTTCTTCGCATTCCAGTTGACTCGTCTTGTTTCCTTTTCGCTCCCTTTGTCATTACCTTTCTCTTTGCGTCTGTTGTTCGTTTGGCTTGTCATCGCAGCTTTAGAACTGTACCGCCTCAAAAAATGGACATGGATTCATACCTATTGTATCCCTACGACAACCCACGTGGGTTTGGAATGTCAAGCTTTCACATGTGAGCACGACGCAAGCATCATGTCATGTAATTCTCAAGGCTTCCATATTCTGTGAACAGCTCACAACATGAGGAAATGAATTGAGTCTATATTATATATAGATTAGAGAAAATATACATGATTTACGAATGAGACACTACTACCACGGATCAAGGCTGATTGCAGTTTCGTCACTCGAGCTACCTGCCTTTGACTAGGATAAATTCCAGTTTTTATTATCCGTCGCAATCAATAACAACGTTCGGATTTCAAGTATAGATTTATCTGTAAGCACAACTACAAAATCTTCCATCATCTTATTATCTGAACATATATTATTAAATAATATACCATTACATGTAAAAACCTGATTCCCAAACGATGTGAAAATAATTATTATAATTGAGTAAAAATAAATGGATGTATGGTGAGGCAAATCTATTCTCGTCTAGTTTCATTCAAATTAATCTCTTTCTATTTGGATAGAACTTTCAATTACATTTACATTCCCGAGGTATGCTTTTTCCAGGAGCTCGATCGCCAAGATTTGTCATAGAACTGTCAACAATAACTGATAACAGAGGTGGGATCTGAACTTATGATGATTAGCGAATCTCTAGTCTCAGGCAAATTTTTCCTCAGACAAGAGAACACCCTCATCGACTTCCTCATGAAGAGGCAACGTCAGTTGACACAATTTCTGCCGTTGTTTTCTTAAGATAATGTGTTCGTCGAAGAGCGTCACCTCTATCTTAAAAAGTGTGAATGAAAACAAAGATACAATGTTACATAAAAGTGTGAGAAAGCCAGAAAGAAAAATCGCTACACAGGTTTATCTGTTAAAGTTTTAAGGCAGGTACAGTAATAAGTATTTACGTGTGTCCGAAATGGTGAAGAAATTAGTCACATTTGGCATGTTGCCTCATACGCATGATCACTTCTTCGCAAAGATTGACGCTTTTGATTCAATCATCGATCAGTTATCGTTGTCTTGTCGCAATTCTGACTCACACCTCAGATGGATTAAGCATGTCAAAGGAGCTATATGCGGCTGGTCTTTACGTGGTCAGCTCACACCAATCCAATTTGTGAAGACACTTGCATGTTTGAGACCGCCATCTGGAAAAGTTACTCGTTTCGTGATGGTAAGGTTATATATCAATCCAAAAGCTTATGAATATTTTCTGATATCACTCTTCCAGATTCATTCCCACCCCAAAAAGCTTGTACTTAGAATAGTTCCGATTAGTTCCATGTCATGTTTCGATGATTTGACATTGTAAAATGTTTAAGTGCAAGTTCTAGTCCTTGCATTTGTAAAAAATGTAGAGTGATGGGTTCAACCACGTTAGAATTGTCACCGTCCATGAGTAGGTACTGACTGACATTGGAGCCATCATTGGATGGATTCACATTCTTCTATCATCTCTTAGGGTGCGACTGTTAGACATCTACATAAATTTACAATCACGTCATCCATCAGTAGGTACTCATTTTCTGATATCCTTCCTCATTGGATTCTCGTGTTCAATCCTCAATCGCTTCTTGAAAAAATAGTTCTCCTTGCGAGTTTGTCGTCCATCAGTCGGTACTCGCATTAAATTCATTCTTCATTGAAATCCCGTGTTCAATATTCAGTTCGTGCCTTGCTTGCTTGAAGAATGACAGTCGTGGAGAAGATGGTAAGATGTCAGGTTTGGTCGCAAAGTATTCTGTCCGTTCTCTTCAACGGTGGTCACATCTTGCATCAGAATGATTCTCCTCGTGGAAAAGAAAAATGGTCAGTTTTGGGTGTGAGATCTTCAGTCAGATCTCACACCTGCAGCTCATGCTTAAAAGAGTTGTCATGTCAAATCTTTAGTAGGTTTAGTATGGGCAAAATTCACCGTCCAACCGACCATTGTTAGCTGGTGTCGTGACCAGATCCCAACCTTCCCTATTGTCTTTTGGTGTCATATATAGGATGTTTGTTGATTACAACAAGCATCCTACCATCCATTAGTTGGTATCTTCTTTACCTTCGTTTCACAATAAAGTGATTCTTGTTCAATCGTCAGTCAACTCTTCAAGAATGGTTCTCGTTGCAG